TGTCTGGCACCCTCGTGGCTTCCCCACCATCTTCTATATATGGGCCTGCCCTCTCTGAACCCAGCACGCTCGGATCTCAAGTGACACAGCGGTGGGGGGGTGGGGATGGTCTATTTTTAATCCCGTGAATGGCTCTGTGCTGGAGCTGAGCTCTCTGCCCCCCGTCAAGGGTACGGCATCATGTTGTGCCGGGAGGATTTTCCTGCGTGGCTCTCTGAATGGCTCCATCACCGGCTTAGACTGTGGTACAGGTAGGATGCAGCTTTGTGATCTCCCCGCTGCTTCTCCCACCGCTCCTTGCCGGGTCTGGGCTCTGTTGCGTCTCCCTCCCCGGAGCCACGGCTACGGAAGGGGCCGGTGCCCCCTGCCCTGTCCTTGTTTGGATGGTGCTCCATGCTGCCTTCCCGCATGACGCCGTGGCAGCAGGAGTGCTCCAGAGCGTAAATCCCCCACTTTTTAAAACGACTTGTAGGCAAAAGGAGTAAGAAAGGGGTACATGGGGCGCGGTGCTGCTGTGGAGGGAATCCCAGACCCTCCATGCTGCTGTTCCTGGGGAGCAGAGGCAGAAGGGGCCTGAGGGGGGTCATAGGGGTCCCCCACCGCTGGCTGGGTTAGGGTCCAGCACAGCGATTCCTGCCCTGCCGAGTCTGCCAGGAGCTGCCCTTGCCTCTCACTGACTTCACCTGGAGACCAGTGAGGATGAGTGAATGGGGACGGCAGGGAAGCAGGGCAGGACCCTGGGGCGGGAAAGGGTTAGGGGCACACACCTCGGCTATGTCTGCTGACGCCGGTGCCCCCTCCTCATGCCCTGATCTCTCCGGCCCCCTCCCCTTGCTTTGCTGCTGCAGACATGGATAACTTCGAGTACAGCATCCAGCTGAACGACAGGGACTGGGCTGAGTTCTTCCTGGCGTCGGAGGAATGCGACCTAGCGCCCGCCGCGTTGGCCACGGCCGAGGAGCAGTGTCTCAGTGACATTGAACAAGGGGACGGCGTGCCGGGGAGGGAC